AGGCAGCAATCATTATGTTTGAATTTGATTTACTCAAATCCATAAGTTTAATTAAAATTCATACTATTTGTGAAAATGTATATGAGTCCAAAGTAAAGCAAACCCGTGAATTAGGTATGTTACAAAACAGGAATGTGACAACAGCAAAACTTGGTATGATAGTCTGGTGCCCTCCTACCCAGCAAAAACAGTCACGGTCTAGCATTTCATTGGACAAATAGACAAAAAGACAAAAGAAAGTGAACTGAGATAAGGGCTAGCAATATAAAACCACTTCAAAGTTAGTCAGTCATCAGTCTAGTTTGCAAACAGAATCACTCATGAAAAACGGCATTATGTACTCTCTTTTAATTCAAACATAACTCCTCAAAAGTCAGAAGCAAAAGGATACTTATATGACAGACAAGCACCAGTTTAGTTACTCAAATTCCCAGTCTGACTTAGAATTGAATATAGATCCAGTGGTTTCTTTTGGTGTAGTTTCAGAGAAAATTAATTTAACAGATGTAATTGTGGTAGAATGCACTTATTCATACTGAGCCAGATCCTGGATCACTGGTCTTAGGGGATGAAGTGCAAAAATATTTTATGGGAATGAAAAAGAAAACAAAACCAAAAACCAGGCATTGACCATATACAGGATCATTTCAGCCAGGTAAACATAATTCTAGCCCAGAGTTGTTGTGGATGCCCCATCCCTGGAAGTGCTCAAGATCAGGCTGGACAGGGCTTTGAGCAACCTGACCTAATGAAAGATGTTCCTGCCCATGCTAAGGGAGTTGGACTAGATGATCTTTAAAGGTCCCCTCCAACACAAACTATTCTGATTCTGTACTAATCATAGAATCACAGAAAGGCTGAGGGAACCAAAACCATTCTTCATAAGGGAGATGTTCCATTCCCTTCATCATCTTTGTGGCTCTGCACTGGACTCTCTCAAGCAGTTCCCTGTCCTTCCTGAACTGTGCGGCCCAGAACTAGACACAATATTCCAGATGTGGCCTCACCAGGGCAGAGTAGAGGGGGAGGAGAACCTCTCTCGACCTACTAACCACACCCCTTCTAATGCACCCCAGGATGCCACTGGCCTTCCTGGTCATGAGGGCACAGTGCTGGCTCATGGTCATCCTGCTGTCCACCAGACCCCTTTCCCCTACACTGCTCTCCAATAGGTCATTCCCCAACTTATACTGGAACCTGGGGTTGTTCTGCCCAGATCCAAGACTGCCCAACTACAATCTAAGTTCCCCATCATACTGGCATTCCCATAGGCCACATATCTGAACAGGAGTGGAAAGGGAAAAAGGAATAATGTTGTAATAGCCAACAGTGCTTCCTTCAGACAGATTTTTTTCTGAAAATCACGTAGATTTTCAGGAACGTGTTTGTAGTTGTAACCACACAAGAAGAACCATTATCACAACAAACTAGAGAGTCAAACCTAAATCTCAAATTTGTTCAACATATCTACATTTCAAAGACAACGCAGCACCTTCTTTACTTGTCAATATGGATGCCATATTTGCATGGTTTTGCATAATTGAGCAACTGAAGTGGTTACTTCCCTATTTTTTTCCTTTCGCTTACATAAACTCTGCAGCCTAAGGCTCTTTGTAAAGAGCACTTCTGAAAAAGTATATTCAAAGTAAATTAATTTTCTAGCTTCCCAAAGACTTCTGTGTTGTACGTGATTTGCTCCGACAAGAATAAAGCACAATTTGTCTACAAGCATATAAACAGCAGCCCTTTTAGGAATGCTACTTTCTTGGTTGCAATTAGAATTATGGGAAATAAATCAGCTGAAATCCCTGACGTTGACAAGTGGGTCAAGTTGAGGTGAGCCCAGTTCCCCTCAGCTCAGTTCACAGCTCTCTTCAGCTGACGAAACAAACTTCCTGTTGAACATCTCCTCTGCAGCAAAGTCACTGTCAAACTGTCAGCCAAGCTAACGGGCAGAGAGACATGAGGATCTGATAAGGCAATTCTATTTTCCAAGAAATTAAACCAAACAAGCAAGGGTTCTGGCCTATTTGACCTCTTATTTTCTCAGTAAACAGTTTCTGAATCACAAAATACAAAAAACATCTCAGGAGAGCTTTTTATGGTTTTTGTTGCTTACTTGGGAAATTATTAATGCTCATTTGAATGTGTAATACAGCCTGGTAGCACACTTAAGATCAGACTAATCTTGCTGATCCCAGCTAATGAAAAAAGCTCCACTATAACCAGTAATTCAGGGTTTCCCAGATCAAGTTCATTTATTTGAAACAAACACTGTTAAAAGTGTATGAGTTAAAAAAGCAGGTATAAACAGATGTGCAAATAGATGAATATGAAAGAAAGTAAAGCAAGTGTTATACCTCTTAAAGTAAGCTTCTGACAAAAAGTAACATGCTGTACCAATTTAGGGAGACCTAGGGGAAATAAACGTCCACAGATAGCTCTGCTCTTCTACAACAGCAGAACGGACCTGGAGTTTATAAAGCACTGGGTTTAGAAGTTGTGTTCTAGGATAACTGGAGGGAAAAACTGAGAGTCTAAATTTTTATCCATCAACAAAAGCATATCTTCAGAAAATGCACTGGATCTCAGAAGTCTTCTCAGAGGAGTGAATAAAAAAAAACCCAAAAAACAAAACCAAAATGAAGCGGCTCAGGAAATTTAAATCACGTTGGAAGACAGTATTCAATAATGATTTTCCCTTGAGTCACATTTTAATGGTTGTACGCTCAGCATCAAATAATGAAAGTTTGCAGAACCAAGAGCATGTCCGGAAGAGTTTGTGCTGAAACAATCTTTCAGTTTTCCAGTATAAACTATTATTCATGTAGCTTTGTTTAAATGCATACAAATACTAGTCAAATCTTCTTAAAGGAGAAAATAAGGACGTGTGTAAGGACAGAAAAGTGCCATTATATCACCTTGCACAAACACTGTATAACCAGAGTATAATAGAATTTTTAATTTAGCCTTCTTCTGTTAAAGAGCTTGAATTTCATAATTCCATGCCTCAAAATTAATGCAGGTTTTGTTTGTTTGGGGTTTTTTTGTTTGGTTGGGGTTTTTTTTGGGTTTTTTTGGTTGGTTTGGTTTTGTGTTTGGTTGTTTTAGTAAATGCTGCATCTGAGCTGTTTCTCTAGAACAATGGTAATAATGCTTATGCTCATTTCTTGTTATCTTTCCTTTGAAAAAATGATAGTGACCAAATATTCTGAAGAAAAGATTTAACATCTGGCAGGAGGGCTGGATGATGGCATCAAAGACACCCTTTTTTCTTGCTGGTACTGGAAGCCTCCACACCCAACTTAGCTGGTGATTGTACCTAACACAGGTTCAAGTCTTTCAAAGGTTATGCCATTTTTTGTGCTACATTCTCTCAAAAATATTCTGCGTAAGGGGAAAGAAAGGGCAAACAAGCAGTTCTGTATTACAAAGCTGAAATTCCTATGCAAAAAGTGGGGGTTTTTTTGACTGAAAAGATCCAAAAACACTTCTGTGCGTGCATTTAGTAGAAAATTTCAACAGAAATGTATATTAAAATGCTACAGAAGGCAACTGCAGCCTGCACTGCATCTTCATTAAGAATTTTGTTTCAGAACTTAAAAACTAAATATTACATTGGTAAGTCCCTTGAACTCCAGTGTTACAGCTTTGAATTTGTAAGAGTTCAAGACTTGAAGTCCCCAACTTTCTTCTACAACAACATCAAGGCCATTCTTTCTCAGTACTACTTTTAATTCACTGTTTATAACAACACGTGCTTAGTAGTTCCACTACAACTTTCAATACTTCTTTTCTGTTATTGAACCTATCTAGATTTAGGCCAAGGTTTTCCAAACTTGATTAGTAATAGGTCAATTCTGTGTGGGGTAATAAAGATGTTTTAGAGTTAAGATTCTGCACAGGAAGAATCTTCAGGTGTCTCAAGAAGAAGCCCCCCCTACAAAAGCACGTATGTTTGCCCTTGTGGAAGTCTTCCCCTTAAAAATTACCAAATCAGGCAGGTAGCCAAAAGCTATCAACCACTTTTGAAACTGCTGTCATCTGAAGGGCAGGTCACAGGTTAATCTGCCTGAGGCAGGAATACAGGGGAACCACCAGGTGATATAGCACTGCCCTCCCTTTTCCCGGACACATGGCTATCAGACAGCTAGCAAGTGGCCTGCACGTGGGTCAAGAGAAAACTGTACTTCTCCAAAGCAGCATTCCAAAAGCCAACAGAAGTGCTAGCTTGGCTGAGGCTATGAGTAGATACAAGTTTTCTTACTCCATGGTACCCATAACACCAGATCAATGACCAGGAGTGATAATACTACAAGATACAGTAGCTATTGAGAACAGCATAGTGGTAAAGGTCAAACCTACTGGGGATGGTCTAACACTGTCACTTTCTTATCCAGTACATTCCCTAACTAGACAGGAATATGGCAGCCCACAATGAGCTTATACCTGAGAGGCATTTTATGCTTTAAGAGCATGTGTGTATCTATATATATAAAATAAATAAAAAGATATATATAAAAAAGGCACAGACAACTAAGCTAGTCTCACTAGTGTCTTGCATTTTCCCTATGGCAAGCAGAATATAAAGGCCATCTGATTTCCCAAGTCAGAGCGTACTGAATATTCATATAAATATTGCAGTCTGACTATGGTATAAGGCATCATAAAAATCAAGTTTTTATCTTGCTACAGTTTGTAAGTAATTTTAATATTATCTCCAGTTTAACATATCCTCTCCTTTCGAGATTTGTGGTCTAAGTAGTTTCATCAAATACCTCCAATTCCTGTAAGATACATTTGGTGCTGTCTTTTGCAAATACACCACGACAATCAGCTAACCAGTCCCAGCTTGTGAACAACACAATACAGATTTTGGACTCACTGTACACTTTTAGAAAAGACTGCAAAGAAAAACAATATTTTTTAAATATTCAATTCAACCATACATGCAGGTATCGTCTTTTATATTGTATTTAATAAGCATAAAGCATCTTTACCTGACAGAGCATCTTGTGCTTCAAAAAATGTGCTAAGACCTCCTTTCACATAAGCCAGACTCCCCTCATTTTTCTTATTGCCTTGTTTCTTCAAATTCACAACAGCCGTTTTGAGCTGATCAAAACTGAAAACAAACAAGAAAACCACTGTGACATTCAAACAACGAATAAGGTCAGCTAATGAATAAACAGAACAAACTACTTGGAAAATAAAGCCAGCTACTTTTGCAGCAACTATTAAGGATGGAGTAATTGCTAATGACTATTTACTCTTAGTCCAAAGAGGTTTTTTTTACTTTTAATCCTAAATGGAGGATGGACTGTGATAAAATAGACTTCTTTATAACACAAATTAGTCAAGAAATTTCTTCTAAAGGTGCAACATTGCTCTTTGTTAACTGTCTGTACTACATTAAATAGGTGACAGTACAATTCACTACACTTAGTGTACTAAATTAACTATTGGGATGTTAGAAGTCTCTTCAATAATGACATCTTTTAATAAGGACATTTGTTTAACTCTGCAGCTTAGTTCATAACCTCTTTTCACTTTCAGTTTCTGAATTCCTTCAATATTTTTATGTTGGTTTGGACATACAGTTCAGAATTGAACACAGTAATCATGTAAAAATAAAGAAAAGCTGAACAGATTCCTGCTTTACTAGAGCACGTTTGTTGTATGTAGTCTACTGAACTGTTTTTGAAGGAGAATTCATAGGAGAATATTAATTGCTAACTCATCATTGTTGTTTGTATGGTAGGTTTCTTTTTATTTTAGTTTCCCAGTATTTCTACATTATTGCCAGTTTACACTTGATTTCACATTTAATTTTTTTTGCAATCAGCTACAATTATTTTACAAGTCTTATGTCATGACTGATTCTTCACTAGTTGCATAGCATTTTTTTGTTGATGATGATGAATATGATCTCAGTAGTTATGCCACTGGATTCATTATAAAAGCACTATCATGAACTATCTCAGAAATACAAATATAACACGATTTTCATCCTTCATGACTTTTTTTCTACCTGCACACCAAACCCATCTCCCTAATACAAAAGAATCAAACAAAAAAAATGCACTATACCTCAATTAGGAGAAGGAAACAATGAAGTAAGAAAATTAAGACATAAGGCAATACCACCAATATTCTTTGCCCATTTGAAACAGGTAGAAAAAGACATATTAAGAGAACAAACCAAACTTTAGCCCAGGCAGTGAGAAGGCTATCACCATCTGCTGGGAGACAAAACACACTGGTACACTTACAGGCATTTTCCTTTTTATACTGATGATGTCACAATATTTTGCTTTATTTCCTGTTTCCATCTGCTGGACAGAAATCACATTACTCACTAGCTGGACTGGTCTGCTTGGGCATACAAGAAGCACTTACCAGCAGCATTTTTAAACTAACAAAAATCTTTACAGTTCTCTTTTTAAGCACTGTTTTATGTTACCTGATTATCTAATAGTATATGCAAGTAGTTTATTTATATTTGTGAGGATATTGTCAGGTCAAAAAATAAAAAAGATGTTATTTTGATTGCTTAAAAAGAATTTCCTTCAAGGAAAAAACAGACATAAGCTAACCAAAACATCAGTGCACCACACATTTAGCACTCTTAAAACCTCTGAGGTTACATAAAGGACAAGAACTAAACCATTGCTGTGTGTTTCCAGAAAACAGCACAAATTATATGGGGCAGACAATTATACAATTCCAGAATATTTCTAAGACTAGACATTGCGAAGTGGGAATTAAAAATAAAACAGTTTTGCTGCTTCTTTATTTAAAAAACTATTTATAAATATATTCAAAATATGATTGGATTCACTCTACCCTTTGAGCCATTCTTTCTGTTGCGTTTTAGACAGCTTTTGCACCTTCAATACTAAGATTTAAATTTTATAAACCAAATTAAACTGAATTAATATGCAAAAAAAGCTTTCATTTAAACCCAAAATTTAATACTTTTTATTCCACCGGACTGAGGGAATCATGACTTGAAACTGCTGACATGAAAAGACACGTATCAATGGAACAGGTTTTTTTTCCCCTAGAAAGATGAAGAACTTAAGCTAATACCAGAAAAAGTGTTTTAATTTTTTTTCTTAATAGGAAGTTTAAAATTTACATGAGAATGGACTTTCAGGTACTGACAAATAGGCATAGTAGAAGTTCAAAATGGGCCTTACAAACTAATGTAATTATTTAAGTTATCAATTCATATTACTGATGACCAGAAAAAAAGCGATGTTTTCACTGACACCTTGTGATATCAGAGATATAACCATTACATTATGCTGTTGCTCATATTCCATGGTAATTCTGATCAAAAGAGTCATTTAATTAGTTCTAAGAAGTAATTTGATTCATTTTCTGGGTGTACAGCATCCTGAAATGTACCTAAGCCATTTATAACAAACAAGTCAAGTCAAGTCTCAGCACTCTCCAGTGATGGTGATTCTGCAGCTTTCCAAGTTACACCATCCAGGGCTTAAGCAATACAATATTGTTTTCAATCTGCATCCAACCTCAGTCTCCCTTGCTGCAAACTGACACACCTTGTTCTACTCTTGGTAAACCAAGAACAAGTGATGGCTAACCTTGAACTGCCCACTATGTATTTCACATCATACATTCTGTATTAACTTTGTTTCTTTTCTAAAAGCACCTAATTTATTCAAGCTGTATACCCACAGATAATTATATACTCCTATTTTTGTGGCTCAGCTCTCTTATCTTCCTTAAAGCAGTGGACAAAACTGGGCAGAGCAGCTCAACTGCAGCTTTAATAATGACAAGCAGAATAATTATCTTCATATCTTACACAACACAGTCTTGCTGATCCACTCCAGATGATTTGTACTAGACAGTCAACTGGCATTTATGGCATGTTACCAACACCAGATTGTCTTCTGTACTACTGTTGCCCAACCCCAGGTGTTTACTCTGCTGCTTGCTTTCCCCACACCCCTTAGAGCCTTGCATTCAACTATTTAATGACTGCTACAGCCAAGGCTACCACTGGTTATCATGTCCCCTGCCTCACTTGCAAGAATCAGATTGAAGAAAGTAGCATCCCTGATTGCCCACCTAGCAGCTACATTAGAAATCACTCCCAGAACTCTCCACAAGCGTCCTGGATTACTGTTCCTTCACACAAAGGTCAAGTCTCTCTCTTCTTTCCTGGGTATCTTTCTCAGAAGGCCTCTTCCCATACATCACAGAACACCCGGCACATGAGCTATCCCACTTTATTCCACTGATACGCTTGTCTAATCCCACATGTGAGCTCTGACTCCTCTGACTTGCTTCCCAGGCTGCATGTAAGCATGTAAAGGCACTTGATGTTAAGACCCTTCCAACTGGTTCTACAATTCCCTACAACACTCTCAGTGCCATCACTGAACCACACATGCAGCACTCTGTCTCTTCATTTACCTGCAAGCTGTTATCACCATCCCCTGACATTCTTAATTTGAAGCCCTTGTCAACAAAGCGCAAACCTGATGGCAAAGATGCTCCCATCCCACTTTTTAAAATGAATCTAATTTCTCACTTGTTCTTTAGTAATGGATCCACGGGGATCCACAGCCACAGAAGTAAAAAACACTGCCTTTGAAACCAGTGGTACAGCCATCTGTGAACCTACAGGATGCATCCACTACTACCTGAAGCTTTCCCCTTCACCTGTAAATCAAAGAGAATAAATGGGCTCACAAGTGCTTTACTTTTATCCCCAGGGCTTTGCAATCACTCTTGATCTGTTCTACATCTCTCTTGGCAGAGTCACTGGTGCTTGCATGAATGAGCAACAAAACGTTAACAGTCCAAGGACCAAATGTAAAAGAAATTATTAAAAACAGCTACATCAAAAGCTGTTTGTTCTTTCTCATTTTATTATCCCCTCATCTTTTTCAAAAAAACTATGAACCCTGAAGTTATCAGATTGTGATAGACAGAATTAATTTTGAATCACTCCTCTTTTAGTTATTTGATTTCAAAAGATACTGTGGTTATATGTGTAGTAGGCAATAATGTTCTCCTGCTGTTGTTTTGGCTCTTCAATATACCAACACTTTGAGAGGAAATCAGAAGTACTTCCCAAGTAGATTAATGGTTATTTCTGGAGCTCTTAAAGCATCCCACTCACCCTCTCAAAAAAAAACCCAAATCCACACCTGTTTCTACCATTAGATAACAAGAAAAAAAAAAAATGAAATACACTTGCAAAGTGGTATTTCCCTTCAAAATGCCAGTCAGAATACCCAGCTGAAAACAACACAAAAAAGGCTCATTATCTCCACTAAAAATAGTTCCAGTATTGTCCATACACTAGCAGATAAGTTTCAGAACTTAGTTATACATGCAAAAATATACTTACATAATTCATGTAAAGTGCATATTATGAACTAGATTTAAAAACGAAGAAATTAAAAGTCAAGATTTTAAGATATTTACCTCAAACACTTTACTCACTTGTCCAGTTTCTTTTATTATAGCATTTTCCACAAGAGTTAACTAAAAGCTAAGTGACACTACTAACAGTTTCACTTCTCGTCTGTTCAGTGCCCTTATCCTCCAGTCATGACTTCAGTTAACACCTGGAATTTCCACTCGAGGCCATGCTGCCTAACTTCTTGATTCATAAAGGGCTTTAGCCTGAAGCAAGACAACTTCCATCTGACACTGGCGGGGGGGAAGGAAAAAAAAAAACCCTAAAGCCCATAAATTAGGTTGGGTTAAAAATGAAGCTTTCCTCATGACCACCTTGAGCAAACTGGTTGATTCAAGCTTCTAGCCAAGCAGAAACACCACAGGCAGTAGCGACTACTGGTCTATTACTGTAAATGTCAACCACCAATGACACATCTACTGTATACTGAAATAACATCAAGTGATTTGCATGTAAAACAATTATTTATATGACAGCAACAAACCTTGTTGTTGAATGATTCTCTATCAGGTACCAGGCAGCAGAAAAGTTTTCACTAGTGAAATCAGCACTCATCCCAGGAAACAGTGCCTCCAAATCTTTCTGAGGAAATCTGCCTCTGAAAAATGAATACTCAGTTCTTCAGTGAGACATATTCTGGTGAACAGCTTAAAACAAGTGTCACATAAAATAACCCCACCATGAAATTAAAAAAAAAAAAAAAAATCATGTTCCAACAAGATGTAAATATAAACTTGTATCTCACCACGAAATTAAATCTGGTATTACAGACACATGTAGCGTGAGTGGGAAAGAAAAGATTGAAATCTAATCTAAGTTAAAACTAATTTTACCATTCTGATTTTATCATTACACACATGACAGAAGTGTTGCCTGTACAAAATGCTTCTAAAGAAAGAACTGCTGCCTTCAGAAAATGGGACTAGGCAGATTCACTGTGATAGTACTAACATTCAAATGCAGGACCACTAATGCTAAATGTACTCAAAGTCAACGCTATCTTTTAAACAGGAGAATCAGTACGCCAAGCTAAGAAAATAAGAGAGAATATTCTCTGTAAGCCATGAACCAGTATCTGTCTAACTTTAAAATGACGCGGCATCACCAGGTTGACATTTTGTAAGGGATCTCGCACCATCATTGTCTATTAGTCCACGTGCAGCAGAAATCCCATGGAAACACAAAGGAAGATACAGGGAGTATATTTCCATTATATACAAACACGGAAAGAAATCCTGAGTTAAACTCACCCCCTTGCAAAACAGAATACACTGACCTGTCTGTTCACAGTACACAAAACAAAGGAAAAGTGGGCATGTCAAGTGAGAAACAGCATGCTTTGTTTGTTTTTATTCAATCTTATATTGCATAAAGATAGCACACAAGCCAATTCCTTGTGAAAGCAGTATCTCTACAACAGCATTTCTGAAACTCATACAGAAGATACTCATGCAGAAAATATATTCCATTTATTTTAAGTCAGTGTAATGTTTAAAGCACTTTTTGATGAAAACATGACAATTTTCATCCCTCAGTCCAGACACACACTTAACACATGGCCATATTAATTCCACCATACACTCTCAGTACATCACCAGGTGTGCCCACCACTATTTTTTACCACCAGCTGCATCCCATCTTCAGAAACTAATTGTGCCAAAAATGTTTACTTTTGTTCAGCCCTGAATTGGTCAGGCAGTTGGACTAGGTGATAATTGTAGGTCCCTTTCAACTGAAGTATTCTATTCTATTCTAAAAATTTACTATGCCAATTTTGGATCACTGTGTCAAACTCAAAAGTCAGTAAAATCCTTCTCTGATGCTCACAAGCGAGGTGACCTCTGCCATACAAGGTACAATGTACACAAATGCAAACCTGCCATACTTTGCCTTTGTGATCAAACCTGGGTGAGGGCAGCAATCCAGAGTCAGCCATTGGAATTACATTTAATACATATGAAAAGCTATTTGAATAGACACAAAAGCAATTATTTGTTAATTTGGGCTTTCCTGTAATCGACACATAGTTCAAGATAGCTAAAGCTGGTTTTATTACAAAAAGCAAACATCAGATTAAGTGAAGCAAGTCTAAAGGTAGGGGCATTAAAAAGTACAATTATGTAGAAAAAAGAGTTGTTTTCTGTAACTTTCTATTCATATCCAAATGGCCATTAGCACAAGTAGGTACAAAGGATCTACATACATAACAACATGGCACAGAAGTCTTTCATCAGCAGCACCTGAGTACAGCAGGGGCATGAAACAATACATTTAAAGAGAAGCAAAAAAATATCAAATGAGATGCAAGGAAAAGTGACGACATATGAAAAGACAGGGAAAATAGTGTGAAAAACAACTGTAGCAATTAAAAATGAAGGTCCTTACATTTCTCTGTACTCAATCAAAAAGTAATAATGTTAATGTTAAAAATTTATGAACATAAGTAATGAGATTTAGGATTACTAATGACCTTTAATGTCATGAATGCCAGTTGGCAGAAAATGCTGATGGATGTAAGACTGAGAAGAAAATTTTGATTTATCCTTCTTTTAAAGACATTTTTAAATATCTTATTTTTCATTGATAGTAGCCAGAAGTGCCCAGTGGGCACATGAATTTGCAGGACAGTACTTCACATGTGATACACGGCATGGTTGTCCAAAAACGTTTTTATATTAAACCCACACATGGTGGCATCTTTGTGGTCAACTACATTTTTCTAATGCTAAAACCCAAAACCAATAAAAATCTTTCAGTTACCTCAGAAGAGACTCAGACCTTCAGCGCAAGCACTATATTAGTGCATGCACATAATAAAAAAGCTGAAATTTGTCCATATTTTTCAGAACTTCAATGTATTTTCTCAGAAATCGAAAGAAACAGATACAAGAAACACATACACTCAACAAATATACCATTACCAAATACTACTTATTATTGCAAGATTGTAAGACATATGCATGACAGTTTAACCTATGTATCAGCTATACAATTCCTAGGGGGGAAGAAACAACACAACTATTTTATATATATATATTGCGATAATGACCAATAATTTAGCTAGGGATTTAATAAATTCCTGCAAATGAGTTTTGCCCACAGACAGCGTGACAGAAATTAAGGGTTTTTTTCAGTTTAATGTTTGACTGCATTGAAAAGTTATTAAGAGCTTTTTTCCAGCAGATGTATTTGTGCAGAACCATAAATTAACAATGCATTTATGGGTGCTTTTATCTGTGCAGACATATTTTAGACATAGTCACAACAGAGCAGAAACATGAATGTGAATGTGTGCGGTATGTTAACAATATGTTATACTCTATGGTGCAGTATCCTTATTTTTATCATAAATTTTACCAGTAGTTTTTCCACTAACAGATATGGGGAGCTTGGAATGACTTGCTACAGCTGTCTTCACAACAAGCTGCTCTCTAAAAAGTTCAAACTGAAAGCAACTGCATTTTTAAAATGTCTGGCTAGATGCATTTAAAAAGAGACTGACTCCACATACACACGAGTTTGTTGCATTAACTTCCATTAGTAAATTAAATAAGTCCTTGGAAGTTGTTCTCATGAAAACTTGCCTACCATTTAATTATAAACAAGCACATATGTGACTTGAAAAAGTATTTCTGTTTTACTCATTTCAACATTATGGACAAAATATGAACTAGTAGCAAAAGCTAAGACCGTGTTGACAAACCATGAAATCCTTGATCATTTTTCTGCTGATTTGCTCACTACACATGAATCACTTCAGGAAACAACTCTGAATACTTAATCACTGATTAAAAAGCAATCACTGTAAAAGAAACTGGGAACCACAAACAGAATCCAGAGAACCTCAGAAAAAGAAGAGAGAAGTTTACCATCCTTGACAACTCTATGTATTTCGCTACCTTCACAATTTCAGCAAAGATACACATATTGGATTTATACAGTAGTACTTTCTGCTCTGTAGACTATTTTTTTAAAACAGTACCAGATCTGGTACTAGACCTTTAGTTAACATTTTAAAGTAGTCTTATTCATCCATCAGCAATAATTTTAACTATAAAATATTTTACATGCTGTTTATTTTCATTAGACCTATAATAAAAATAAATTTGGTTTCAAGCCACTATACACTTCCACTTCCCTCAAACATATTTTGAGTATTTCTAATGCAGTAATGCAGTATTAGATGTATCCTTCCTTCCACATAAAGGGCACGTATGTCTACTTTAGATTCAAAACACACAGGGTACAATCAACTCACTTGTGGCACATGTGCTTATTAATACAAGTCCCTTCCTCCACTACCCCAAATTTTAGGTTCTGTATGGCTTGATATTCAATAAATCTAATTTAACATCACAGCATGTATCAGCTCTCACAAATTCTACTACAGAACTTGTGCATAAACAGAGCACTTATACTCTTTGGAGGTTTAAGATCAGCTGTAATCTCCATGGGTAAATCACAGCCTCCAACAGTCACAACTGAGTAAAAGCAACAGAATACAATGGATATGAATGACCAGAGCTTGCCTATGAACGCAGCTTAGCAAGTTGTAATTTTTCTGTAAAGACTATTTTGCTCCCAGAGTTTCAGAACGTCATAGTACGCTTTTCAGCATACGGGACAATATTTGCAGATTACGGGCAGGTCCCAAAACAGGATATAACCACCAAAAGGTAATTTGAACCTTAATTCCACAGGAGTTTATAGGTCAAAAGGAGCAACTTTAAATAAACACAGATTCTGAATAGCAACCAGCATAAACAAGCTCCAGCTAGAGCTGCTGTACATGCACCCCTCTGTCTGGTACCAGTCAGACTGCTAGAAGCAGGCTTTGTACCAGCTGTACTCTGTTAATCATGCATGCAAGAAGACCAGCAGAGAAGACACTGAAGTAGACTAAACATGGCAAATCAGAAGGTGTTAACAAAGCTCTCTGCAACAACCAAGAGACCAGGATGCACTGTGGCAATTACTCTCTAGTAGTACTGGGTTCATCAGAAATATGACAGCAAAATGACAATCATATTTAAGAAATGGTAGAATGTGAGAAATCTACTAAGAGGTTACAGGCTGGCAGCTGCAACTGATGCATCAGCCTTACAAGCAGTAAGTGATACCACATTTTTTCAATGTCATAAAACTAAGACTACATACTACTATATACTGCATCTCTCTCACATAGGTGTCACAGTTTTTCCACCTGCATCTCTGATCCAAGTTTCCACAAATCCATCGCATTCAAGGATGAAACTGACTGCGTTTCCATACAAGCCACTTATAAATAAATACAAATCAAAGCCTCCAGAAAGTCTTTTCCTCCCTCATGGCAGCAAGCTGATGTTTACCATTAGGTGGCAGCGTAAGATCATCTGTTCCCTCCCGCTAGATGGACTGTTTTGGAAGCTGTCTGGGAAGAGGGAAGCATCTGTATTGAGTGGGTGGATACAGAAGTATGTGGAATGTACTTAGCATGTCAGCATTTGCTTTCATGTACGGGATGAATCCACCATAGTGACCTCTGCTACATGCAAAACAACAAACACTATCCAAAAATGTTCTAACCACCACTAGGTCTGACTGCTGTTACTGCTTTGC